TTTACTTTCCGTGTCACTATTCCTCGTACCCAGCTAAGACTTCCTATTTATAACCGAATTAAGGTCAATTTGCACATCGGATGCATTTTTTAGTTAGGCCTATAACAAAAATTGGACACCGATACATAATGTGCGGTACGCATAACTGTCACGTGTTGCCCCTCATCTTAGGAATCGCGCCATGAAGGCGTATAGACTTCGAGGTAAAGCACCATTCTTATTATAGATAATATTATTTTATTCCTGTCAATATAACACTATTTCCAGTATGCAGAATTTGCTTTCCAGAATGACATGTTTCGGCATATGTATGCCATCTTCAGTTCCAGTTTTCAGTTATAATTATTCTCTCATGTAACTAAAAACTGATCCAGTGACTGAGGTCAACTTCTTCTAACGGACCGAAGAGCGTACGTGTCTTCTACCCTCACCTGAAGTTGGAAACAGATCCAGTTTCCGAAAAGTTGCGTTTTCTATTGTTTTTCACAGCACTTGACGATGATCGAAGTCCAAAAACCCAGTAATTCCGAGTGTTAAACGCCATCGTCAGAACCCTTTAGAATCTACTTACCACAATCCATTACCAAGATTATGAATCTGGGTAGCGTACAACATAATTAGCGTTTCGCTAAAGAGACAATTATACCACAGCTTTCTTCATTTCATCCTTGACTTTTGGTCCTTTTTGTTACCTATTTGAACCCCTCACCCACATATACACAAACATGAGATTCCTCATAGAATCTGTAGTTAACTAACGAAGGGTCTCTAGGGGAACGAAAGAAACAACTTAAATCATGATAAACTCATTCTGACAAGCACCTCATAATAAACCCATTATGCAGCGCGTACCCTGGAGGAAACGTCTTTCCAAGAGGTCAGTCATGAACTGCAAAACGTGCAGAAAACATTACAATTCCATTAACCTTGAAGCTCTTCCTTTATTTTATGGGAGAAATTGAGCGTAAACCATCCAGCATACTCTAGTACCACGCAACAGAGGCTTAAATCCCGAGCATGTCACGGCACACGCCTGACGGTGAAGGATCCAAAGATCCTCCATCAACGTATTCTTTAAAACTCCGTGGTTGTATTCCGCAAGCGAACTATACAGACCGAGCGGCCGCCGCTTGTCTGCGAAGTTAGTGTCAAGTGGGTGTCACGTGGTCAGCGCAACGGATCTCCACGGTTAATATCGGTTTTCCAGACCAGAGCCGCTGTTTCCTTGAAGTAGCTCCCCAATTATCCTCACGAGGCTGAGTGGACCCCGTCCCAGACCCACTACTTCTCAAAAAATTTTGTAGCGCCGGGAATCGAACCCGGGACCTCTGGTTCTTTGACCACTAGACCATATAGGTGGTCTCACAACTTAATCTTAGTTTTATTAAAATTTAGTGTTTTTAGAATATATGAACTAGGTGTTCCTATTACATATCTGCATTAACCAAGCCTCTATAAAGCACTTCACGACAATAGAGTTCATCAAAACTATTCAGGTGTGCTCAGTTCCTTTAAGATTGTAATTCCCGTAACACAAGAGACAATGAGTACTGCACTTTCACTGTACATATGTTAAAGTCTTGAATTCTTTGAACGGGCAAAAATAAAAACCGATTCCAGCAGCTCCAACGGAAATTGGGCCTTACGTATAACCAGAGGAAATGTGTCGTCATACGGAATACGCTCCTGGTGTGGAATGACACTGCGGTGGAAAATGAAAATACATAAGAACATCGTAATCAACCGGCAAGCAAACGCTTGCGTGAAGAACTTTAGGCACAGTTCCAGTACTGCCCCCCCCCCAACTCACTTGTTCCTTTCTTTGTTTCGGTGGCTGAGGGGTCATTTTGTGCAAAATACACAATGAATGTATGCGTGTTGCCACACAGTACGCTCAGGTTAAGAAAACGAATGTTTGTATTTAGAGTTCGTAAGCGAGGCGATTAGGAGCATCAACACGTGTTCCTCAATTTAAAATAGTACTAAGTTCAAAAGAAGAGAGAGGAGGGAAACAGGTTTTGTTACAGCGGTGGCACTCCATATTACGTACATGGACGAAATCTGTATAACTAAAATATTTTTAAACAAAAACCTAAATTTTATTTCACATTTAATTCTTATCAGTAAGGGGCACGCGGTGGCGTAGTTGGTTGAGGCACTATGCTACAAGCTGGAACGTCGCGGGTTCGAGTCCCGATGAGGTGGCTTTTTTTTCAATTGACCTAATCCTTCCAGCCGCATTATGGCCCTAGGGTCTGCTTAGCCTCTAACAGAAATGAGTACCAGGAATCTTCCTGGGGAGTAAAGTGCGACCTGCGCGTAAGGCTCACAAACTTACCGCCATCTGTCTAGAAAATGTGGGGTGCTCAACGTCTCACAACACTATGGGCCTCCACGGACTGTTACACGGGTAGCTTTACCTTTTCTACCTTCTTATCGGTATTGGAATGTACACACTGTACCATATCATGAAAGGTAAAGTTGTCCCTGTGCTTAATTAGGGATCACGTCGTGAATATGTATGGAGAATGGAGTTATAGCTCAGCCATTCTTGACCTCGGCACTAGATGGAGGTGAATGGTCAGCTTCATGCCAGGCCGCTTTACTCCCGGGGAAAGAGCCCCGGTATCCATTCGATAGTTTGGATGGACCTCAGAGCCAGTCTAGACGCTGTAAAGAAGAGAAACGTCCCCTGCTGGGAATCGAAACCCGGCCGTCCAGCCTGTAGCCCGTCCATATACCGACTGAGCTATCACGGAATACCATAATGTCTTCAGAAGTGCTTATTTCTAATATTTTTAAATGGTATTCCATATATATTTCTATGGCACGTTTCCTCTACACTCATGCATTCTTTGATCTTTTGTTTGAACAAATAGAGACATATTTACACGCATCTAAATATTCGTGGCATGAAAATATGGCAAAACTTAGCATCACGAAGTATCGGCGACTGTCGGAAGGTACGCTAAAAATCGTCCGATACCGAGAAAACTGTACAAGCATATACGTTCCTTCAGACAGACGTCGACTTATTTTTTATTGCTAGTGGGGTGGGACTAAGTCCCTTGTGATGCGGCACAAAATATGACAAAAGGTAAAATATAAATACTTAAAAATATTTAAAATTATTTAGTATGGGAGGTTAAGAAATATGTATGCCAACTTAATACTAATGTTCCAGTGCTACAGTATAGAATTTGGCATGTTATGTGGGTTGTAGGTCTTATTGTTAGAGCTTTCTACGTAGTAAGCCTGGTCGTGGAGCCCAGAGACAAGTTTCTATGTGCAAGAATGAGCATAATGTATGCGTTGTGAATGTGTGGTATATTAAATGTGCATATTTCGCGATATATATTGTTATATGATCATATAATATTCGGTGTGTTCTACCTGTGCATTAGTTCGATGTAGGTGTCTAAAATTGTTGGGGGAAACTTCTGTGCTTCCGTTTTATGGCTCTAATATTCGATGTGTAGTCCCATCTACGTGCTAGCGCATTTCATGCTGTTGCGGTCTCCTCCCGTTGTGTTGTGTTCTAGACTAAGTGCAACGTATTCAAACTTTTAAATATAGTTTAAAAGACATATTATGTGTATGTAAGAAACTTTTAAATAAGTTTTAGAAGAAAGCAACAACATAGCGGGCCACAAACACATACAGGACAATATCAAATAACCCACTTCTCCGGAACGACAAGGGGGCACACATTCGGCCCCCGTCAACAGAAATAATAAGAGCGACGACACGAACCCGCTTGGTTTACGAATTCCAATAGAATCTTAACAAAACAACTATAAATATTTTAAAGTATTGGAACAGCTGCTGAAGTTGTAAAGACTTTAAATTTTGCAGATTGTTTATGTATATATTTTAACTTTTAGAACATGTACTGTAACGGTGGCTTCTAACAGTATTGATGTAAAGGTGTCCCTCTGAAGATGGTCTCTCAAGACCGAAACATGTAAGGGCATGAATAATTGAAATAAGAAAATCTTAACCAGTCATACTGGACGGAACTATTTAACTTTTTCATTTTTAGAAGAAAGCGTTACACGTAAGACGGTGAACCAGTGACATTTGTTGCTTCTGATAAAAAGTAAAGAAAGAAATATCCAACGTGGAAGATAATACGCGGTCCACACTCGCTATGATGATTAAGAAATTGGCAGAAACAAAAGAAGCGGAACCTCCGCTATATTTTTCTCTCATCAAACAGAAGATGAAATTTTTTGTTTGCATTGCTTTTGTGATTACTGAGTAAACATATGCATAGTAAAAACAAAACAAGAGAAACTTTCTAATTTTCCTTTTCTTCTTCCACAACGCAACGTTTCTTAAGGTTTAGTATGCATACTTTGCGTACAGTCCTTTTATTTGAAAATAGTACTCCACCAAGTAATTCACAACGGCGAAATGCCTTCACTGCTGGATGAACAAGCTCCATGAAGCAGAATCCTTATTGAGAAGCTGACAATCGCTTATCTGCTCAAGAAATTTCCCATTTCTTGTAAAATCTGAAAATTCACTATCGTGTTCACAAGGTACAACCATCACCATCTTATCGTGAACTAGACAGAACCATGAAGAATGACGTCTTCTGGGATGTGGCGCCGTGTAGAACTTGTGTGAACCGACGTTTAGGAACATATCGCCTAAACTACTCGCGGATTTTTCTACCCTGAAGGCGGAGGCGATACGTTCCTCCGAAACGTCGGTTGATACAATTTCTACACGGCGCCACATCCCAAAAGACGGCATTTTTCATAGTCACCGCCGTTAAAACCTCAAATCTTACATAGATAAAACCAGCCCGTACTCTCATACCATATTTTCTGAAGAACCACATTACCTTCCATCTACGCCCAGACCTCAAATTTAGTTTCAATAAAGTTCTGTATGAACCTCTTATCTTGCCATGCTTGCCGTATGCAGCACCCATTTCATTCTCCTTGGCAGAGATGTATGAAATAAACTAACGTGCGCGTTTCTTCTTTCAGGGAACAATACCTGTTCAACGTGTTCGAAGTAATCGTATCAACATTGGAATCAAAGTTGCAGCGAATAGAGAACCTTGATAAAGCAGTGGAGCACCTGATGAGGAGGGTTGAGATGTTGGATTCCAGAGTCACTGATAATATTGATAAAACCGATTCGGTTATAGCAAAGTTGAGAACACTTGACTTGAAATTGTTCCACCAGGACGATGGGTCAGTCCAGGGTCATGGCACGGGCTCTGTGGGAACACCCAGAGTTGCTGCTGCTGCTTCAGCCACGGCAGACGGCGACACGCTCGACAAGCGTCTCGTCTCTCTGGACCAGAAAGTAAGCGATATTGACACCAAGTTGGTAGGACTAAAGAATCAACTCGATACCAACTTCTTGCCAGCAGATGATATCAACGCAGAGGCAAGCGAGAAGAAACCAATAAGCATGAATGTGGTCGACATAACAAAGGTTCTAAATGGCGAAGTAATGACGCACGTTTCACGTGAACTAGAAGGGCTGAAGACAGCAACAAGCAATGTTGACAGGAAGTTGCAATTCCACATCAACCTAGTGTCCGAGAACTTGGGCAAGGTGCTGAATCTTGTATCCGACGTTCATGAAGCAGTTGTGGAGCCTGAGGCTACAACAGCATTGCCTCAACCCTTCAGAAACAAAACAATCCCAATTCCTGTGTCCGCAGTAAAAAACAGTAAGCTAGACACATTAGTGAAACACATGCATCCTATCCTCAGCGTATCAGAGAAAATGGATGAAGTTTGGGACGTTGTGGTAGGAACTAAGACTTCTGTTGATGACTTAGTTCCCAAGTCGGACGAACTTCTCACACAAACTCAGAGACAAGAACGTGCCATTAGTGACATACATGCAGACCTCCGTGTAAAGGCAAACAAGATCATTGCTAATTTAGACCTGGTGGAGAAGCGACTTAAGAAACAAGAAAATGACGTTGCAACCCTAGCACAGAGACCTGTTCCAGCAGAATTACTACTTGACCCAACGATCGATCGACTCGTGGAGTATGATTCCAACAGATACTCTGTTGTGATACCACAGGATGAGATGGTAACAATAACTGAACCCCCAACACAGCCCTCTACGCCACCAATGACCACAAACAACCACGTGACGCAAACCACTACCAACTTCATTTCATCGCCAAGCACAGCCACACCTCCTACAACAGCCACTGCAGCAGTCAGCAGTCGAGGAACCACGAGGAGTCGCGGTGTCATATTCCCCAGCGTGAAGAACAAACCCTCCCCTGCCAACACCACATTCACTAGCGACCTCATAAATAACATCAAGGACGTCAAGGTGAGTAGTTTCGGAAAACTGTCCAATACAGCAGCCACACTGCATTCATCTTCTTTATTCACTGATTTATTTAACGGCCCTTTCAAATTATACATCACTTAATTGTAGGATTACTTGTGAATCGTTAGTAAAGATTGTGGAAAAATGGTTACAGCCTAACTTGAGGCACCTTTCAGGCATCTGCCTGTATGGACTGAGGAAAACCACGAAAAACTAGCTATCTCGGCCGAGACGTTCGGAATATGAAGCAGATTCGTAGTTCTCAAAGCGATGACTTCTGGGATGTGACGCCGTGTAATTGGTTAGATGCCTATCTACCAAACTCCATAGCGATCCCAGACGACGGTGATTTTCAGGAGCGTTACTCAAGCCACCGCGACGTTCGATGAACGCTTTTTAATAAAAGCAGTACGCAGAAACAGGGTAGGCCCTCAAATTCCAGCTGATTCACTGTACTTCAAACTGGCCATCTCCTCCCATTAGCAAATGTAGCAAGCACCCATATCGGTCTACATGTCAGCCCCGCCCCGTTTGACTCAATTAGCCAAAAAGAGTCTCTCCATTACAATTCTTCATCAACTGCCTCTTTATCTCTATAAAGTTAGGATCTAGCCGATCACAATGGCCGCGCGGACTAAGGCATGAATGTCTGTGTGCGTTTATTCTGTTTGTGTCGTTCTGTGTGTAGGTAGCGGCCTTGCGACGGGCTGATCCCCTGTTCAAGGAGTCTTACCGACTGTGTATAGATTAAGAAACTGAAAAAGCGGCCGAGGTTCACAAGGACTGCAGAACCATAGATAGTGTTATCACCTATTATCATACCAATCGAATGTGTTTCAGCGATGGTTCAGGGGTACAATGAGTCACCCTCACTAAAGCCGAGAAACAGTACTATCGCAACACGTCACCCGGCTCGAACTATTCAATGACAAGGGATGCGATGACGACCGCCTTTGTGGTCAAGGAAATAGCTGCTCCGGTCTAGAAAACCGAGATTAACGGCCGTGGGTATCCGTTGTGCTGACCACGCGACGCCCTCTATCCGCAAAAGTTGGCACTAACTTCGCGGACAAGCGGCGGTCGCTCTGTCGGCATAGTTCGCTTGCGGACTAAAACCATGGAGTTTTTTTGGGACGTGATGAATCATGGCCTATGGTCTGATGCCAGGTGATCTTCGAGACCAAAACGCAAAGAACTGCATAGGTGGAAACATCTAGAGTAGCTACATGAGTACACCTACATGCAGCAGTAAAGTGTATTACTGAATGCACACATACTGACCTCGCGCGCACCTACAGGTACGCACGCAATAATATCATTCCATAAGCATATCACTCATTACAAGTGGAGGGAAGTAGATGAAGGACAAGGCATGATAATTTTATTTTAATAATTACTTTCACTTCGCTTAAAATGTTGAAGTTGTGTCTGTGTATCGGAGAGGACTCAAAAGACAAAGGTCACGCATGCTTCTGTCTCATTCCAAATGATGACTGTGCACTGTAGAAACAGGACACATGTTGGAATATATGAACATCACGTGAACAACACGCAATTAAGCCACGAGTAATTACTGGTGTATACATTCCAGAGCAGCTCTATGCATCTCACGTAGACAACTTCTGACCCTATGAAATGCTATTTGGATAGAGACGTTTCGGAGGAACTTTTTTTTTCCTTGGCACTACAGCCCCAGTGGGCCTAGGCCTACCTCCATGAACTTCTCCGTTCACTTCCGTTTTTCTTGATCTTACGCATTCGGTAGGACTCCTTGGGCAGGTGATCAGCTCGTCGCAAGGCCGCTACCTGTACACAAACACAGAAAAACGCACACACACAAACTAAACATCCATGCCCTGAGTGGGATTCGAACCCACGATCCCGGTTTCCAAGCAAGCGAAGACAGTACATGCCTTAGACCTCTCGGCTACCGTGACCGGCTTCGGAGGAACTTACTCTCCTTAATTCGCTTACTCTTCGATAATGAAGACGGAGGCAGTACGTCGGTAAACTTCCACCGGACTACACGGCGTTACATCCCAGAAGACAGTCTCTTCATAATCACCGTCCTCTGAGCCTCAAATCTTATATGACTTCCGTACAGGTCTTTCTCACCGCTTCTGTAATACGCAAAGAATCCGCTTTGTAGTGAAGTCGTTCGGCGTAGGCCGTGCCGTAGCTCAGGCGGTTAAGGCTCCCACACATCAGAGCGATCGCGGTGGCGGTGGCGGTGGCAGGCACGATGGCGATAAAGTCTTCTCACACCAACAACGCGGTGGTAGTGATCAGTTTGAAAAATCGCGTAAGCACAACATCGTAAAAGTTGCGTCGATTATCTCGTCTGGAAGAAGCGTTACTTTTGGCAGCTGTAGTTGATGCTGAGGAGCAGCAGCAAGCAAGGTGTACAATTGGAGAAATTTGAGAAGTTATTACACATATTAACATCATACTTAATATATTTTTCAGAAAGAAGCGTAAGAAAACGTGGATCTGCCCATTTGTTCCCAGACTTCATCTTTCTTTTTTATATTTTTGTAATCAGGATGCGACAAATCAAATATATTATGTAATTTTACTCTTCCATTAAGTTACTCTGTTGTTGCACTCATTGCTCATGCTAACACACAGCGTCAAACTCGACAAGCTGCCTCTGATCGCCACCGCGGAGTAGATCGCTGCCTCTCTGAAAGCGTCTATAAGCTCAGCAGGAAATATCTGACCGCCACCGCGATCGCTCTGGTGTGTGGCAGCCTTTCGCTGGTTTACCACCGCAGAGGCCTGGGTTCAAGCCCGCGTCAGGTCATGTGGGATTTGTGGTGGACAAAGTGGCAATGAAGCAGGTTTTCCTCCGAGCACTTCGGTTTCCCCTACCAATCTTAATTCTATCAATTGCTCCACAATCAGCATCATCTATCATCTGGGGTTGGTATGATAAGCCAATAGCGTTCACAGTACCAAGTGGTCTCAGTCTCACCCCACTATGAATAATAATAATAATAATAATAATAATAATAAATAAACAATAAGTCGTTCGGCTGGCTAACAGTTCTCACGCTTAAAGCCACAAGTCTGCATTAACAGATATAGTGGCAATGACCACCACCAAATTTCAGGGCGTACAGAAAACGCACAAACTGACAGCAGGGCCGAATCTAAGTTCACTTCATTCTGGTACAGTAACAAGAAACATACGCATAACTTGACAATATGTCTCTCAGTTCAGAGGTTCGCAGAGAGAATACAACGAAGGGCATTATTTAATTTTTATTTCTTCAAGCAAAAGAAATGACAGTGACTTGAATAAGACCATGGCCTCTACCTACGCAATCATATCCAGTTCCAAACCTCCCCTCTAGATGTTAGGCGAAAAGCTATAATCACTGCCTAATACACTGCAATTCAACAAGCCTGCGCACAAAACCACACCCACAAATGGAGGTCAGTGGAACAAGTTCATTCGAGGCATTACATGAAGACTGGGAAAAGAGGGGAGTATCGTGTCAGTCACAAGACGCATAACAATAAGACATACTGATTATGTAACCGACTGAGTATCACTGACACTCACACACTCACACACTCCTCTACTGTCCTGTCGCTTGACCGAACGATCAAAATACGTTTCTGTCCTGATCCAACGTGCGGTCTGCAGGGGGGACATCGGTGGAGATAATTATTCTGGTCTGTGGTCTAATGGTCAGAGTTCGTGACTACAGATCCAGTGGTCCCAGGTTTAATTCCCGGCACTACCAGATTTTCTGAGAAGTAGTGGGTCTGGAACGGGGTCCACTCAGCCTTGTGAGAATAATCGAGGAGTTATTAAAGCAAACAACGGCTTCGGTCTAGAAAACCGAAATTAACGGCAGTGGGGATTCGTTGCGCTGGCCACGCGACACCCTCTATCCGCTAAATTTGGCACCAACTTCGCCGACAAGCAGCGGTCGCTTGGTCGGTATAGTTCGCTTGCGGACTACGGGCAACGAAGTTTGTACAGCTTATGAAGCTCCTCATGTACAACCTTACAAACAGGGGAACAGTACATCAACCAATACAGTCACTTCTAAAATAAGGGTTCACAGACTCACATGAACACAAAATGGGTATGAGAAAATGAGACATCCGTCTTTCATAACATTATATTTCAGCATCCCGTTACATTGAGGCATTTTCGTTATTATTAGAGTACACGTCAGTAATGCAACAATATAAAAGTCATTAAGAATATGTCACTCATTAAAACGTAGTTGAATACCTTACGATGTTAAAATCATTAACATGTAAATAGGACAGTAAAAGTATATTTTATATATCGAAAGTGATTATCAAAATTTCTTAAATGTCTCTAGTTTTACATGTATTTTTCTGTTATTTTACGACATGTTTCGGCCTCATATGGGCCATCATCAGGTGATTTTTCTTTTTTGGGGAGACCACTGCACTGCACTTGTTCACCGTGCTCCTTTCATGCACGTCAATGTTTAGTTCAATCTCAAGATTAGTCGTTGCACTCTTTTGCGGCTATTTGTAGTTTTGTGTGTCGTATTTTCTTGTGTGCGTGTCACTATTGTGGTCTCTATATATACTGTATAATGTATCCGTCTTTCGTTGCAAAACTGTGAACCAGGAAAGATATATATATATATATATAGTAAAGGGGCAGAGAAATGTAACCGTTACCTTTACGAACACATCAGTTACCGAATTATTTGTGAAAGCACGCAATTTACGCGGTCAGTAGAATTTGGTAGTGTATTTTTTGCACAATTTAATCACTAAAAATACAGTGCACAACACGACATACATACGAGTATCTGCTTCTAATTCTGCATGCTTGAAAATGGCACACATATAAAAGATAAAAAAGGTAAAGTTGTCCCTGTGCGTAACTAATTAACCACTGCGACATGAAGGCGTGTGGGGGAGTGCATGTATAGACCGCATTTTCTTGACCTCGGCATTAGCTGGAGGTGAGTGGTCAGCTTCACGCTCCTGTCGTTCTA